AAACCCTACTTGTTGCAGCAGGTGTATACTGAGGTAGAGGTCGATGCTAGGGTTTCTTTCTTCTGCTGCAGCAACCAACTGAGAGGAATCTGAAAAAAGAAAGGAGACAAACAAAACCCTAAACCCTAAACCCTAAACATTTATTTATTTATTTATTTGTTTATTTATTTATTTATTTATTTGTTTGTTTGTTTTTTTATTTATTTGTTTGCTTGTATTTCTTTCTTTTTTTTATTTTTTTTTTGTCAGTTTGTCGTTGTTTTTATTTGTCTCTATTTCCCTTCATTTACTCTAAACCCTAAACCCTAAACCCTAAACCCTAAACCCTAAACCCTAAACCCTAATTCTAAACCCTAATATGTATATTTTTCTCTCTCTCTGTCTCCCTAACGCCTCAACCAAATGCCCAAAACCCCTTTCTCCCCTCTAAACCCTAAACCCTAGACCCTAAACCCTAAACCCTAGACCCTAAACCCTAAACCCTAAACCCTAAACCCTACCTTCACAAGGTAATAAAGGAGAAAAAGAGTTTAATAAAATAAATGTAGAAACAAAAGAACGAGCTTGGTAAACCCTCAAAACAGAAACAAGAATATCTCTTTCTTCGTTTGTTGATGCATGCAATAAAAAAGATAAAGATGGAGATAGATGCAGCTGTACATACACCCCAAATATATTTATATATAAATATAAATATAAATATAAATAAATATAAATATAAATATAAATATAAATATAAATATATTAATATATATGTATATATATATGTAAATATAGAAATATATAAATGTATTAATATCAATATAAATATATAAATATATAAATATATAAATATAAATATATAAATATAAATATATAAATATATAAATATAAATATATAAATATAAATATATAAATATATAAATATATAAATTACAAATGGATTGGATAAAATAAAGAAAAATAAAAAAATAAAAAAATAAAAAAATATAGAAATAAAAAAATAAAAAAATAAATAAATAAATAAATAAAAATAGAGAACGAATATATACACACAAACCACCCTAAACCCTAAGCCCTAAACCCTAAACCCTAAAAGAACAAAACAAAAGCAACAGATAGATTAAGATAAATGGAGGCAAAACAAACAAAACACACACAAACCCTAAACCCTAAACCCTAAACCCTAGAACGAAAGCCGACAGATAAAAGAGTAGCGAAAAGACCCAAACAAAGACCACCACAAACCCTAAACCCTAAACCCTAAACCCTAAACCCTAAACCCTAAACCCTTGCCTGAAAGAGAGTAGGAGATGTTGGATCGATGTGTGCAGCAGGAAGGGTTGTTGTGTATTTACATATAAACTCTCTTCTGTTTGCTTTTTCTTCTAGGTCTTGTGGAGCTGCAACAAACCCTAAACCCTAAACCCTAAACCCTAAACCCTAAACCCTAGGACAGGAGAGAAGGTGTATTTAGAGGATAAGGAGTGTTGGCTCTATAGGGTAAACACTTAAACTCAAGAACGCTTTGATCGAGGGTTTAGGGTTTAGGGTTTAGGGTTTATTATTTCTAGGGTTTAGCTTCTAGGGTTTAGGGTTTAGGGTTTAGGGTTTAGGGTTTACGGGGGAGAGCAACAACAACCTTATCCTGGTCTATCTCCACGATTACTTCTGTTTCTCCCTTCTCCTCTAAACCCTCATCGAGAGACGCGCTGCACACCCAAACCCTAAACCCTAAACCCTAAACCCTAAACCCTAGTCTCATCAACCTAAACCCTAAACCCTAGTTTGCTAGTTTATTTCCTCCCCCTAAACCCTAAACCCTAAACCCTAAACCCTAGACCCTAAACCCCAACCCCGGATCCTCTCCCTCTCCCCTTAAACCAACCCCCAAACCCTAAACCCTAAACCCTAAACCCTAAACCCTAAACCCTAAACCCTTTACCGTGTGCAGGAGAAAGAAGAAGCAGGAGTAGACAAAGCAGACAAAACCCTAGAAACCACCAAACCACCGATAGAAAGGGGACCTATAGACAAAAACCTCTCCCCTTGTAAACCCCTGAGGGTTTTGGGGGCCGCACAAACCTCCACATACACCCCAATGTCATCCGCTGTCACTGGGTATACGCTGCACACAAACCCTAAACCCTAAACCCTAAACCCTAATAAACCCTAATAAACCCTAATAAACCCTAATAAACC